TAGTGGAAATATGCTTTTAGAGACTTTTTGGTTGATAAATACGTTTTGCTGTGTGAAAATCACACGCACCTGGTGCGTGCGTGTGTTTAGGTTAGTAAATCACCCCCTAAGTGACCATAACACACAAAACTGATGTAACACTCTTGTACTCATGCAGCACATTGATGCCTCTTCTTATATCAGGAATAGTATTTCTCTCAACACGTTTCGCGCTTTATGCCCACAAGTAAAACAGTAGAAAGGCATCATGGCACACTCACAAACTAGCATGTAAAACAACTTGTCTCACCACTAAGGACAATGACAGAGGTTTGGATACACGTCTTCTGCAGAGGATGTGAAAGCCGCACTGCCGCGCCAAGGCACCTCTTATAGTGCGGTCCTAACTCTAAACTATGAGTCTCCATCTTGGAGCACATGGGGGCAGAAGATTTCAAATTGGGTGCAGGTTTGTCAGGAGGACGCCCAGCCTCCTTAAAAGCACAGAAACACACAAGGGATATTATCCTTAGTGGTGAGACAAGTTGTTTTACATGCTGGTTTGTGAGTGTGCCATGATGCCTTTCTACTGTTTTACTTTTCAAAGCCCATTTCGTGTGCACCTTACTGTATAACTGGTAACAAATTGTTGAGTGCGTTTGTCGTTTGTTTTGCTTCAAGGACATAAACAACCTCCTCAAAAGAGGTGGTGGGGAAAAGGTGACAAGCGGGCAACCATCTAAAACTGAAAGGTCTCAAAAGAAGCCCCCAAGAAGGAGCTACAAAGAGCGCAGTCACCACCGAGCCGTCAGTGTCCACGAGGCCGCACAGCAACGGCCGCTGTTTGTATAATAAAGAAACCTTGTTTTATCATGTTGTAATTGCTTGGTTTTTGTCACTTGGTACCTAAAGCCCCACTCTTTCTTTTCTTTGTTGATTCGATATATTAGGGGTGTGGTACCTTTTATATTCAGGATTTGGTCACAATAATTTGATTATGAAAACTTCTGTACCTATGTTTTGATATAGAGAAATATATCAGCACTTGGCTAATGTGAAACTAATAGGAAAATATTACGTAATAACACTAACACCGGCCCTCCGTTGTACCAGAGGAGAAACATAAAAAGAAAACAAAAATAACTTTGGGCTACAGAAGTACTGTCCTGGCCTGGCATTATTTTGCACTATATAAACAACTAAATCCTCCCAACATCAAGCAGTTTAAATAAAAAGATAACTTAACTGGTTGTGAGAAGCCATATCTTAAATTAACTAAAACATCTTACCAAATAAACGTAATTAAAATGATACATGGTTCAGAAGTTTATATACACATATGTCAGCTTCCAACACCGGAAAGGTTTCTGAAATGCAAGTTTTGCATGTAAAAAGTATACTTGAAGGCCCAATGTAAATGCGCTATAATAAATAAAAGTATTGGAACACCTGACAATCACTCCTGTATGTTTTCAGAAACTTGTAGGACTTTCCATTCTAAATCAATAGGCATTAATATACAGTAAGTTGGCTCTCCCTCGCCCCATCTCCCCTTTTGTGACTGTAACAGTAAATTGCCCCATTGTGAATGCTGATTGCAAGCCGGGACTTGTTGTTCAGCATCATTGCCTGACCTTATAAATTTTCTTTTGATTAATTGGGCACAATTTACACAGTGACACATTATCACATTTTGCAGAGCCTTTACAAAAGAGTAGAATAGTTATGGCGTTGTAGTGGAATATTCTACAAGTTCCTGTAGGAGAGAATTGTCCGTTGCTTCTCTTCCCTGGACAAAGCCATCTTGGATGGGGTGCATCCACAAGAGTAGAAGAGGCTTGATTCATTAAGGCCAGCATTTTTGCTTATATCTTTTGTCCACATTAATCGGGCAAATCAGTCTATAATATACCAAAGGGTCTAGTCCTTTTTTGGGAATGTTTGTGATGTGTGTTAGTTTAGATTCTAGGTGGAAGGGGGTCCTGGGAGGAATGTGATTTGATTTGGGGAGTTTAAAATAGTGAGTAGATAAAATGTGTAATTTTTAATAATTGGCCGTGTAGCCATCTGAGCCTGGGTTTTTACCATCGGGCAGACTTTTTCGCCCTCTGCCATTCTTCCCCGGTAATATCGTTCTCCATAGCTGCTATCAGGGCAGAGGAAATCTTTTCTGGATTCTGATAGATGTTTAGAAATGACTACCCATCTGGCGTAGGATTCAGTAAAGGACTCCCCAGGTCTAACATTCTAAGGTGATTGCTAATAGTGGGTAAATCATTTTTCTATATGTTTAGAGGAGGAATGAATAACTTCTTACTCATTCTAAATACAAAAGCAACATGTTGCAGTTTGCAACAGTTTGCTGACGTTACAAAGCTTTGGCTGACAATTTTGTGTGTTGGTTTTCGTCCACATATTGTTTTTGATCTATCCTGTGTAGTGCTTTTTTGGTTTCTGTATCTAAGAGTTGCTTCAAGGAAAGCCAAAGTCCCTTTAATGTGAAAAGATTATATTTTGTTAGATTCTCTTTGAGCAAAGTTTCAAGCCTACTGATGCATTTGATGAAAGTGTCTTTTCGTGCTACCAGTTGTCGTTTTAACTTGGAGCTTTGGGCTATAAGTTTGTTTTGAATATAAGCTTTGTTTGTCACCCATAGAACTGAATGAGACACTGGTCCATTGTTATTTTCTACAAAAAGATTGCAAATCTGATGTCAAAGAATCTAAAAAAATATAGTCAGAGTATTGTTCAATCTGCTATTGTGGTGTTTTGGTTCCATGATTGTTATCTCAACACTAATTGAGCATGATGTGACAATGTGACTATATGAATGGTGACCCGATACAAATGGAAATGGTTAAAGAAAACCATATCTAGTCTGAAACAAGATGACTGTGTAAGGCATGTTTTTCCATAATTAGTTTAGAATAGGATTTTGAGGATTGACCAGTGGAAGTATCTAGAAAGAGGTTGAGGCATAGATTACGTAACCTGCCAAAAGGGTAAGACCATCCTTAAAGTGACATTAAACCCTCAGATTTGTTAACATCAAACAATACTGTAATGTGTGCCTTACTGTAATCCATGGTTGTTTCCCTTCTCTTTGCTGCTCTTCCTTTTAAATCTGTATCTCTTCTCATGCTGGGCAGAACGTCTGTTTTGCAGCAGACTGCCTTGTCTTTGAAATAAATACATGGTGTCTGTGTGTAGGTTTGCAACCTGAGCCAGCACTACAGGAAGAGGCACTCAGCTGCAAAGGGAAGTTCTCCCCCAGCATGAGAAGACATGAGGATTTAAAAGGAAGAGCAGCAAAGAGAAGGGAAACTACCATGGATAACAGTAATTGGTTTATGTTAAAAAATCTGAGGGTTTAATGTCACTTTAAGGCCCTTAATCTTGTTAAGGGTGGAACAAAAAAACAAAACAGCCTGCTTTTTATTGGGGCGATATAAATTCACTATAGTCACTCTCCCCTTCTTTCTCTTGCATGGTCCTATGGAGCCACCCTTGCGTGTGCTAGTAAGCTGTGTGTGGCGCCACGAACACACAGGCACACAAGGGAAGCCACTTCCTATTCTCTCCTCCTTCCTCCAACCCTAGTACGGTAGATGTAGAGCTGCTGGAGACTGCTCTGTCCCTTGTGATCTTGTACTGGACAGGAATTTCAGGGAAGCTGAGCTGAGAGAACTAGTTGGAGCTGTTCAGAAAAATTATGGCTGTAATTGGTTGGGAAAAAATTTAGAGAAATACATTGCTGGTCAATGTGCAGTATATTTGTTTGATCTGGGTTAATTATTGTAAAAAGGTTTGAGAGTTTAATACTACTTTAGACCTGACTATGGTCCTTTTTGTAAAGCCCATCTGTTACTTTGTGTAAAGTGGGTTTGGGCGATAGGAACTTACAGTACTTGCACATTATGACATACTTGCCTGTCAGGGTAAAATCACAAAAATGAAAAAGCGCCACTACTGTAAAACCTTTACTCACGTTGCTGGTGTCAGCATACAGCGTGTCAGCTCGTTTGGAGATGTCGGAGGGATAGATAGTCTAATAGCTGTCGGGGGTGATTGTTTAAACACCGCGGTCTCAGCTGGCCAGGCTGAGCCGCGGCTGTGTGGGTGTGAGGCAATGTCAACTGCCGAACCGTTCGGGGACCAAAGGAGTCAATCCGAGCGTGTCTCGAGTATGTCAAAAAACGGAGGAGAATGGAAGAGATGGACAGGGGGCAGTGTCCAATGTTGACGGCTGCGCGTTTCGAGGCTCTGCCTCTTTGTCAAGCCTAAGTGGGGAATGCAATAGAAATGGCGGGATATCTTGCCTGTGTTTAAATTTGACAGCTGGGAGGAGTCAAACGTTTTCTGTAATGGATGTGATTGGTGGGGGAGTCGAGTCTCAGTGTACACTCCCAGTCAGGGTACCACTCCTTCAGCAGCGACAAGTGAGTATTCTCATCACCACTCCTCATGCTGTCACCATCTTCCTCACAGATTCTTCTAGGTACTGCCACACTCCTTTTCGCTCACTGGACTGCCACTGAAAATGTAATTACTGCAAAAGTACACAGGAGTAACATTGTCAACACCCGACTCTATTCTTGGCATGCCAACATTGAACCAGGATGTAGACTGTACGGTGGATGCCCTGTGCATTGTACATTGTAAAGGGAAATAAAGGAAAAACATTTTTCTTTTCTGATAAAAAAAGAGACTTTGAATACTTTTGTTTTAAATTTTCTTCCAATAAAATTTTATTTTATTTTATTATTATTACACAGGATTTATATATCGCCAACAGTTTGCGCAGCGCTTTACAATATGGGGAAGACATTACATTCATAATACAATTCAAGACAAGATGGTAAGGAGGGCTTACAATCTGGAAGAGAGGGGGAAGTGATACATGAGGAGGTCAAGCATCTATCAAAAACTGAAAGACCGGTTTTGGGTAGACTGATCCTTACAGTATACTTTTGTAAATAAAGTTAAGTATATCTTTATGACCTACTCTTTTTGTTTGTCAGATTCTGGTGCGATCTTTACATTTGGAAAAAGTAAATTTGATGAGAACTGCCCCAGCAAGTTTTGGTTGAAGAACGACAAGCCTGCAAACATATCATGTGGAGATGAGCACTCAGTTTTGATGACAGGTAAGTCAAAAAAGGAAGGTTTTCCTTTTTTATCTTGTAGAAGTTTCTGGTTCCAGTTCACACATTAAACAGCCTTAAGATATTTTATGTGACCTCACAGATGATCATTCTCTACTGATAGTCTACCATGATAAGTAATAATCTGTTACTCACATGTGAAAGCAGGTTCTCATAGGTGCTTACATGCATTTCCAGATGCTCTATGATGCACCTAAAAGCAAATAAATCTTTTTACTTCATCTGGCTTTCCCAGCTCCTGTGTCTCTTTATTGCAATACATAAAAAACAAAAAAATGTGGTAAGCGAATATACTGAGGATGCGAATTGATATAAGTAATGGTGTGCGGTCTCCTGAACAGGAAGAGGAACCCTGTACACCAATTGAACAAATAAAAACACAAAAGAAGGCGTGCTACTACCAAAAATTAAAAGTGGTTGTTAGTTGGATGTAGTCCATAGATACCATATATGAAATAATTTATTGTATCCCACGAGAAAGAGTACTTTGCAACCGTGATTATACTCGCCATCTCCCCCACAAAGTTTCACTTCATTCCGCTGACTGCAGCAGTTCAACATCTGCAACAGAGCGGCAGCACTGACTTCTTTCCGCATAGCCGTCGTGGCTCAGCCTGGCCAGCTGAGCCCGCACACTACCATCTACATCTGCGGAATTGCTCAATCTGAGCCACAGCTGCCTACACACAATCCAGCCAGAGGCTTCGCGATCTACCAGCCTTCCATTGTTCCAGCCTTACGATCAGGCAGGAATTCTATCTAAAGTATAACCAATGCTGTCAAGGATTACTGCCTCTGTCCAACAGTGAGTCAACCTCCACTTCTTTCATATATGGTATCTATGAACTACATCCAACTAACAACTACTTTTAATTTTTGGTAGTAGCGCTCCTTATTTTGTGTTTTTATTGTGTCTCTTTATTGGAACATGATACAATTACATTGGGCAGAAATTAGGAGGTTCTTAGGGATTTAGTGTGATGTAAAAAAATGTATTCCGTACCCAAGTAATAAGGATGATCTTAACAACTATACTTTATATTACTATATTCAACCTTACTGATGCAGTTACAATTAGTGATGGGCTCGGGCGTGTTCGCAGCTCCATGCGCCGAGCCCGACAGGAAGCTGACAACGCCGCAGCGCCAATCACTGCGGACCGGGATAATGTCTCAATGCCTGTGATTGGCGCTGCAGCACTATCAGCTTTCTGGCGGGCTCGGCACGTGGAGCTGCGAACACGCCCGAGCCCATCACTAGTTACAATACCCATCTTGGTTTCTTAAAGGCTTATTGCAGATCCAGAAATAATGCCAGAGAACTTTACAGTTTTCCGCTTTCTTTTTATGCCTCTTATTCATTTTGTATGTGTTGTTTGGATATAACATCATGGGTGTGGAAAAAAAAAAAAGGACTAAAGCGGGGGCCCAATCTACTTGCCGTGATACAAAACCGTATTTAACTGTGCTAAGAAGCGCTTCTCATTGGTCAGCGCGGTCAGGTGAGTACTCATTTTGCGAGCAAAAATCTAAATCCATAGACCAGGGCTGCGCTGGATGGCAGTACGGGGTACAGATTAGGGCTGCAACAACTAATCGACAAAATCGATTATAATCGATTATTGAAAAAGTTGTCAACTTTTTCGATCCTCGATTAATCGGTTTCCGATTGGTTGGCCCTGTTCATGGCCCCACACGGTGCGCGCCACACCTCCTCCTCACCTCACGCTCGCCGCTGCCAGACCTGCCTGGCCGTATGTTTGATGTATTGCTGGGATTTGTTGTATTCCTATATAGCTGATGGTATTCTGAATTGCGCTGTATAGAGGTCTACAAATCCCAGCAATAATACATTATACAGCACAATGCAGAATACCACCAGCTATAGAGGACTACAAAACCCAGCAATAGTACATTATACAGCGCAATGCAGAATACCGCCAGCTATAGAGGACTACAAAACCCAGCAATAGGTTTTGTAGTCCTCTATAGCCTGCACCATTCTGCATTCATTGCTGTATAATTTTACACTTTTCATTTCACTATATTGCACACCACACTTTTTTTTCTTTTTTACTTCCACCGCTCAAAGCTTGCTCCTGTGATGGACTGCAATCTCAATACAAACTGGTAGTCCCATCACTGGAGCAATTTTTTAACATTTTATATTTTTGTATCCGATTTAATCGAATCAGAAGATACAATTTTTCCAAATTATTTGTGAAAGTGAACTTACCCTTTAATGCATATTGTGTGTGTTAGAAAGCGCTGCTGCTCATCAACCACAATATGGCACACAGTGGAATGGGGGCACCATTTAGCATGCACACAAACACTGCTCATTCGCATGCAGATAGCTGGGGCGATAAGGTTGGATTAATTTTTTTATTTTTATTTTATTAATTTTTGTAATCAATTTATTTTTCACATAACTTTAATGCGATCACATATGGTTCTCCTTTTATGGAGCTTGCCCTCCAATACAGAAGATCGAGCACAGCATCGCGTTCCATCTCCAGTGCAGCCCAGCTTGTGATAGCTGAGACAGGAATCTCTTCTGTCTCATTGATCACACAGAGCAGATGCACCCTGCTCTCCATCCTGAAATATTTTGCTGTGGTCCCGGGTACCCTAGAAGAGCCAGGGACCTGAAAAACACAGTGGGAGGCTCTGGACATGCAGGCTGCTGCAAAGGCTACAGCCCCTCAGATCACTTGTACAAAACAAGCGGCGGCTCCCATGCTCTATATTTAGCCCTGCTTGCCTGCAGCAGGGCTAAATTTAGAAAAAAAACTAGGGATGCACCGAAATTTCGGCCACCGAAAAACATCGGGCAATAATGGTACTTTGGGCAAAATGGCCGGCCGAAATTGCGGTGCATCCGTGATTTCTCTTCTACACGCTGGGCGCTGCTCTGTGTTCCCCTCTGACATAGAGCAGCATCCAGCGGGGAGGAGCGAAACTGTCAGGAGGCCAAGCAGGCCCTGCTCAGCCTCCTGTGACAGATCAGGATGGAGAGCGACGTAGGGTTGGAGACAGCTCTGAGCTGTCAAAGAAAGCAGAGGCGACGGTGTGGGGGAGGAGCCAGCTGTCAAAAGAGACTAAGCTTTCCTCCTGCACCGCCGGCTCAGCCTCCTGTGACAGCAAGTCAGGATGGAGAACAGTTACCAGCAGTCAGTGATCAGCTGATCGTTGATGTTCTATAATATTACTGTGTCCCCAATTATAAATTAACAGGAAGTGCTCTACATCACTTCCTGTTCATTCATTATTGTCTACATGGTAAACATACTTGTGGACATGGTGAACATACTATCTCCACAGGTCATGAATGAACGGGAACACTCAGTATAGAGGATTTCTGTTCATTCATAACAGGGGCTGAAAAAAAAAAGAGAGATTGAGGACTCTAATATCAGTGGTCTGTTTATGCCTCTATTTCCCTGACGGTAAAGTTAAAAATAAAAATAAATATTTAATAAAATAAATAAAAAAAAATAATTAAAAAGCTTAGAAAAAATAAAATGCTTAAAAAAAAGTTAAAAAGGTTAGAAATTTTTTTTTTTTTCAGTTTCGGCCTGACCTTTCTTCTTCATAAAATTTAAACTCGGCGCAGCTCTAAAAAAACAAACAAACACTTGCTCGCGCTGCTTGCACACCCCTGAACATAGAAATCCAAAAACCATGCATAATTGAAGTTATATATTCGTGAACCTGATCTTATTTTCCATCAGGAAATGGCAAGCTGTATGTGTTTGGCAGCAACATCTATGGACAGCTGGGTATCGGCTCTGGAAATGTCATCAGCGTACCAACATGTGTCAAAGGTTTGTTTTAATATTTGCCTTTTGTGTTACGTTTAGAAATGATTGTCGTTTTTTCTTCTCACAAAAAAAGTGCCCAACCCCTTTTTTTTTCTTAATTCTGCCCCTTTGGAATCCCTACCATTTTTTTCTGTTCAATTCTTTCAGCATGTAAGTAACTTTAGCAATACTTTGTCTGCCAGCAGAACAGTTAGACACAAAACAGTATGATAGCATGTTAGTCAGAAATGCGTAGTTAAAAAGGCAAACGTTTGTTAACGTGTTACTGACTAAAAAATCTTATAATGCAAATCTCTGGAGCACTGAAGGCTCTTAGCCAAATAATATGCCTGTCAAAGGAGCTTTGGTGCTATTTTTTTGTTTTTATTGCTGTCAATGCCTTCCTGTTCCCATGAAGACCGTAAATCCCATGTTTTGGATGGCTGTCACAGGGGCATGAGCAAGGAAAAATCTCACCTGTGGGGTGATAGACAGAAACACAATCCTGCAGAAATTCTAACTCCCACTCTGTCCTAAACTAAAAAAAAATGCTGGAGTTAAGGTGCCCATACACTGCACGATTATCGTACGCCAGATTAGGGATTTCTGATGCAAGAAACCTATGTTCCTGATGCAGGAATCCCTAATTGCACCTAAAGATACAGGTGTGAATGGAGCCTAATACACTAAAGGTGCCCATACACTGTATGATTATCATACGATAAGCGCAAAGTGTATGGTAGGCGTGCGACCGTTTCTACTGTACGGTCGCACGTCTTCCGTCGAACAAGCAGGCTGGAAAACCCGCCGGGAATCGTACGATTCTCGGTGAGTTAGTGGCCTGCTTGTTCAACAACTGCCAAACGGGCCGCTGTGCGGCCCGGTTGTTTTTTTAAATTACTTTACAACCTTCGCAAGACAAAAGTCTTGCAAGGGTTGTAAGTGTATGGGCACCTTTAGGCTTTAAAGCTAAAATGTTGATGACCTTCAGATACTTAATAGTAGTAAACAAGCCGTTTTGTCATCTATTGAAAGTGTTTACAGTTGTATTTTCTTTAGAAAGCAGCCAGTCTGGGTAAAAAAGCCTGCCTATTACAGAGCTACAGAGTCAGAGCTAGAGCTTTCCTTTCAGCAAAACTCACACTCCCTGCTGCCTGGAGAGCTAAAGGGCTGATTTAGCAGGGGGGTGTTGGACCTCTGCAGAGATACCTCTGCTTCAGCACAGAACAACTGTTCTTTTCCACAGAAGGCTGGCAGGGGACAGGATTTTCTGCTTAGGTTGTGGTTGTGCTTTCTATAGAAACAAAATTGTTTGCACAATATATGTTTTTATGCACCTGTCATGTATTTCGCAGATTAAGCGGAAAGTTAAAGTAGCATTAAAGTCTGGATGTTTTTTTACCTTAATGGATTTTGTGCATTAAGGTAAAAACCACCCAGTACCCTTTTCTCCCCCCCACTGTCACCGGTGCCGGCGCAATCCTCCGTTCCCCGTTCTTCCTGGATGCCGGGGGAGGATACTGATGGCAGAGGAGCCATAGGCTCCTTCTGCCATCAATCAAAATGTTGGGCGGAGAGGAGGGGCATGGCCTGCCGCAGGGCTGTGTGCGTCTATTGATGCACACAGTCACTTTCTGACCGGGAGCAAGCACACGTGGGTGCCTCCACAGCAGCTGCTTAGCTAATGGCGGGAACCCGTGCAGGGGGCAGGGGCATGAAAGCTTCGGAGACCCACTAGAAAATGAGAAACTACAGATTTTTTAAAGAAGAAGAAAGGAAGATTTATGTAAAGGTGGTCCACCTAGGTGGAAAGAAAAAAAACAAAACTTTAATATCACTTCCATTTGGGCTTTAAAGAATACTCTGTGCCAATACCAAAATATATATATAT